AAAGAAAAATTGTTGTTTTTGTTGAAAAAAATACACGTGTAACATTTAACTTTGACACTATTTTGATTTAAAATTGATGAATGAATGATTCGAATGGGACATAAGCTTTGTCTTTTTAACAAGACAGAGGCAGCATTCTTTTTTTGCGTTCTGTTACATATCTTTCACTAGTTGAATACGCTACAGAGAGTATGATTTTCTGTTCTGTGTTAATTTGCTGGTGACAATGACGACAATATGCAAAATATTATTTTCCTCTATGTAAAAACCTCTCATTTTGTGGAACTCACGTAAATTTTCGAAGAAAATCGTGAGTGTAAGTTTTAAGTTCAGGTATCCCAGCTCCCCTCCCCTCCCCACCCCTCTCCCCCCCCAAAAAAAATTCAAAAAAAATTCGCAAAAATCATTAAAAATAGCTATAAATTGCTAAAATTTTAATAAAAATACTGAAAAAGCGTTAAAAATAGCTATAAATTGCTGGATTTTTTATAAAAAATAAGCAAAATGGTTAAATACAGCTATAAATTAGTAGAATTTTAATAAAAATAAGCAAAAATAGTTAAAAATAGTCGTAAATTACTGCAAATTTAATAAAAAGAACCAAAATGGTGAAAAATAGCTATAAATTGCGCGAATTTTTATGAAACTAACGATAAATTGGTAAAAATAGCTATATACTGCTGGAAGTTTAATAAAAATAACCAAAAATCGTGAAAAATAGCTATAAATTAATTAAATTTGAGCAGAAAAAGAAAAAAAAACACTTAAACGTGATCATATATTTTGATGCGAACATACGTGAGTTCCACATTTTAGCCCCAACGGGGCTGCGCTGATAAGCTATTTGATACTACTCAATAATACTATACGTAAAAATTAGAAAATATCATTTTTATAAAATAATACTTTAACAAAATATAAACCGATTAAAATACGCAACTAATCCTATTCTAGAAAATGCTTTACTTGATTCAGTTTTCCGCATATGTAATTATTTTTATATAAAAAAAAATCAAAATCAGCTTACATCTTAAAACCTATAATTAAACCTTCAGAAGGATTAGGAAGTCAATTATATTTTAATGAGTATTAATCATGTTTTTTTTCAGACTATTTTTTCCTGTTCTGAAGAACGCAGTACTCATTCGTTCAGTGTCTCTTGTCAGAAACGCATCTTACTAACATTTCAGTTCTATTTAATGGATTCATCTACTAGTCCCGATGAGAACGTATTCAGCAGTGTTCTTAGTTATGTTTATCAATTCGTTGGTATTCCATTTTATATATGTGGCAATCTTGGAATATTAGTGAGTGCTCGTATATTTTGTCAGAAAACATGGCGTAAAAATGTTTGTGTTTTTTATTTTCTCATTATTCTTCTGACTAATTTCATCAATATTAACAATACTTTATTGGGTAATATTTTTATCTATGGTTTTAACAATCAAATACTAAATACTAATACGATCTTGTGTAAACTATTTAATTATGTATCATTTGTCTTTGATATATTAACACCAAGTATTACTGTCCTTGCTTCAATGGATCGACTTCTAATTTCTTCGACAAATGTGGAAACACGTTTATATAGTTCAAGACGTTTGGCTTATTTTTCTCTTAGTATAAGTGCCATCATCTGGTCTATTTTTTTTCTACATACTGCCATTAAATTTAACATTTATCAAATCGCTCCATTTGTTTTTATTTGCATGAATGAACCTACTCAAATGTATACTGATTTTCTTAATTATTCTGAACTGGTTATTAATCTTGTCTTATATTTGCTAATGATCGTTCTTTCTGTTTATTCATTTAAAAATGTTCATCAAATGAGATCGATTCCACGACAACAACGACAAGGTATTCGAACAATGCATAAAAAAGATTTTCAATTACTTCGTTGTTTATTCACGAAAAGTATTGTTCACATCATTGGTGATAGTCTCATCGTCGCATATACAATCTATCAAGGGATACCTACATCTGAAATATCAACACCATGGGAGCAGGCACGTGGCAGATTTCTCTTTAACCTTGGTTTTTTTATTCATCTGCTTCCTTTTTGTACCGACTTTTTTATCTATGTCGTTGTTTCGAAAGATTTTCGTCAAAAACTGAAACAAATTATTTCGAATATTTTTGGTCACAATCTTGTGATAGAACGAGAGAAAGACAAACAACAAGAATTAAGAGCTGAACTGGCGGAATTACGTATTGTCAGCACTATCGAACCAGCAACTTAAATATTAAACAAAGGAATATACATTATCACTCTCAGTATTTTTCATTGAAGTCTGTTTATTTATTTTCTGTTAGCAATTTATTCAAAATATATAACTAAAATTTTCGATGAAAATATATTTTATTATCTATATGTTTAATTGTATAATTGTAGTTTTCATAATCGATGGAATAAATAAGCACATTAAAATAAGATATTTGACGAATTTAGCATTAGTTTTGAAAATAAATTGAATTTGTTCAACTTGAGATACATATTCTAGATTAACTCGTGTAATATTTTTATTTTTTTGTGATAAACGTATAATACGTCGTTTTTCATTGATTAAATATTCTGTTTTAAGTGATGGTAAATGTGACATTCTTAAGAATTTTAGATAGGATAACTGTTGTATCAGATTGATTAAGTTTGATATTGTAATCGTACTACAATCAAGATCAAGATGAGTAATTTTGAATACAGTTAAAAATAGATTCATCTTATTGATCAATATTTTATTTATGCTTTCATGTAAATGATTTGTTCCTCAAATTCAAATCATTTTTTTCTATGTAGGGTATTTGTGCATATCTATACGGTTGAATTGAATAGATTATATCGAAATTATCAATACTAACATCAAATATCCATTGTCGTTCAATCCAAAATGAACATATAAATTGATTACTTAATCGATGATAGGGAGTTAATTTATAATTATCATCAAAATAATCATGATATTCAAAATAAAACTTTCGTAAATTTAACATATTTTATAAAATCAATCGTTTTCATCGATTAGCATCAAGATATGATGGATCATTAAATGTCACGATCTTCAATATTAGTAATTGACATGATATTTTTTGAATAAATATTTCAAAACCATCTTGAGGGTGTGGGTGTCTATCTACTCTCATGGGATACCTAAACCCTCACGCACACCGACACCCTCAAGATTCCTGATCGGTCTCGACAGTAGACACGTTGGATTACTTCCGTCATTCTTCCTCAAGTTCTTCGCTCCCAAAGACACCGATGACTTACAGATGTAGCTCTTCAAATTGGACAATAGAAATCTTGCGATCATCATTCATTCAGAAATGCATCTAAACGGTAGCAGCTAAACTAGACAAGTTAGAGTATTTAGTTAGAATTTTACGTACTGCAGAGTCACCACCAAGTGCAATAAAGAAAACAAATGAATAGGAAAAATCTAATGTTCCACAGAGCTCTGTGGTTTATGTCTGATTTATTTAATTGTTCGTGAGCATCAATTTGCCAGATTCCGAATTCCTTCTCTACATTTTTTGTACGACACATTTGGTTTGAGTAAAAAAAGATAATTTCATAAAGATTGATAGGAACGTTTCCTAAGAAAATTATCTTCATATATTATGGAAGAGCTTGAAATATACCTAAGACAAATAAAAGTATAAAGAAGAGAATGAATGAATAGTCAAACAAACAGACAAAATTTCGAGTTCTAAATATAATTATTTCACAATAAACTATTGTGGTACCAGTTTGAAAACTTCGATTTCATTTGTTTGAAAAGTTTTGGCACCAGTGAATGTATTCTGACCAAGGCTAAGTGTGTTCGCATAACTATGACCCAGATTACAGTAGCTATTAGTATTTATGTTACTGCCGCTGCTAATATGCAAGTCATGGCCCCCACCAAATGTTGGTCCCTGGCTAACATGTCCGTGCAAACCGTGTCCATTATTATTGTAAAGAAACTTCGTTGGTTGGCTTCCATTCGCATTCGTTAATAGGAAGAGAAAGGAATTTAAAGCGTTCGTATACGTATTTGTTGAGTTCCAACTTTGTGAAGCATAACCGCCAAATAAATAACCACCCGTTGATCTCACGACAGTGATTGTTGGTCCTTGATTATCGCACAGACGATGAAATGTACTCGCATCAAATCCGTCTCTGGTTCCTTTGTAAATAAGCTGCCATCGTTGTTCGTTTGTACCGTAAAATTCATTTAGTTTTTGTTGTTGTTCAATGTTTAAAAGAGTTGCATTCTCAAATTTTACTTTCTGTCTCTCTTCTTCTGCCCTCCTTGCTGGTTCCGTCAAAATTTCAACTAGATTATTTAATTTATAAAATCTTGCTTCGTTTGTCAGGCGTTGTCTCAAACGTTCGTCAACCAAAACAAATTCAGTTGGATTTCGCATATATTCCAATACTTCAGCAAATAAATCACCACTTCTATCAATAAAGATACGCCCTCTTTCGTCTTTTTCTAGTTCCCATTGACATGAGAAAAGTGCCGTGAAAAATGTATCCTTTTCGTTGGTCAATGTATCAACTATTGTTGAAACTTCACGTCCTCCAACATCCAGTAGAACCTTTCCACGCACTATTGTTTTTGATAGATTAATTTTCAATTGTTTCCACTCATTTAAATCATTTGCAACCGACGCAACACTTTCATCAATATGGTTTTTGATCGATGTTACTAGACGATTCAGTTCTTCACATTCTTGAACTAAAACATCAGCTTTTTCGAGCGAACTTGCCATTTGTACTGTGAGACAATGATAGTTGTTTTACAAAAAAAGTTTTCTTTTTCATATAAGGAATGTATAAACTTACCTCGTGAAGACTATATTCTTTTTCTAACTATGTCAGTTACGAATGAGACGTACAGAGCTAAAAGAAATGTTAAAAAAATGGTAATATTCTCATTTATTTACATCGTAAAAATGATAAAAACATGTGAGAATAGGTGGTCACAAGAGATTGAAAAAAAGAAAGAACAGAAAAAACCTTCATGGGGCTCCTTTCACGTTGTATTTTATTTGAGTGAAGAACAAAAGCGTAAAATAGAAAGGAAAGGAAGCGACAAACTAGATATGATGTGAAAAAACGTGTGAAGAAAATGAAGATATGATTGTAGAAGAAGTATCAGCAACTTCAGAAGCTACTACGATCAATCCTCTTGAGGGTGTGGGTGATCTACTTATTATCATACCCTCGTTACCTTCGAATATAGATTGAGGCTGTGAATGTGAATAATGATCTCTTTTTACACCCATCTCTTTATCTAGAATGATCCATTGTATTTGGTTTTATTTTATTTGTTAACTATGTGTGTCTATGTGTTATATAGTATCTCAATGTTCATCTTTTTCGAATCTTAGTCCAAAGAAATCATTATACGAAGATGGAATTTCTGTAAGCCGGGTAATCCATACACATATAAAAGGGACTTCACTACGAGCTTTAGCTCCAAATTGATAATAATCACATTGACGTAATTCATCGGGTGTTTGAGTTAGCTTGAAGAGGCGATCCAAATTATCGCGACCTGATTCGTTCACATCAGCTTTTCTGAAGACCGTATCGAATAGATCAGGATGAATCTGATCGCACACTGCTCGTAGTTCTTCGACACATTGCCCAATATCTTTGTCTTCCATATTAATAGCAAGAAGTCGATTTACATTAGTCGGAATAGTATATTTGCGATGATCGTCAATAGACCCATCGGTATCAAATGAAAACCCAAAGAAGATCCGTTGAAGAGCATTTTTAACACGTTGCACGGTCAGAGGAGGGTTGAATTCTAATACAAGTTCATTCATACGATAGAACGTTTTTAAGTTACCTATAAGAAAAAAACTATTATCAAAATAATCAGATGAGATATGTCTATGAGCTTGTTGAGAGAGATCTTATAAAGCACATATTCTTCCATTCGAATCTTTGCTTTTCATTCAAGATTATTACTTCACAAAATATTTACTCACCAATTTCATCGACAATAATAGGCCATTTTGTCAAATCACGTAATTTCATCATCTCACTAGGGATAACTTCCTTCATTTGAACATATTTAATGATTTTCTTTTCTGGTTTATCCGTAGCTGCAGCTGACGCTACGTCAGTTGTCTTCGTCGCAATGACTTTTGATGACGACGTCACCGGTTTTGAGTTGGATTTCTTGGTTGTTGAAGAACCTTGAGTAGTTGAGGTAACTTTTTTTGCAGGTATTTTACTCATTTTGATCGAGTAGATATAATAGAAAATGATAAAATTATTTCATTTATATATACATAAATAAAAAGTGATTGCGTCATTGTTATTCATGCAGAAAATACAATAGAACTGAAAAAATTATTTATAAAACAAATCACCACTGAATCTTACTTTTTCAATGTTGAGTGTACATGCGCACTATTTGTCTGATTTACGTTATTAATCATTAGTCTATTTTTATACTGATCAAAACAATAGATATTAAGACTATTAAAATTAGAATACAGCATTTTGTTATGCTTGTTTCAGAATTTAACACACTTTCATACAAATACCACATTGATGTAATGTATTGTAAAGAACAGCACTTCTAATATTTCTTTCAACATTTCATGCCACGCTGTTGCTTTCTTTATTCTTCAAGATTTGTCTACAAAAAAAAGCGTTGTTTTTTTTAATTGTATAGCTACACAACCTTTTATATTGAATTGGCATGTGTGCAGCTCGACACAAATAGTTACAAAAAATTTAAGTAACATGCTATGCGTCAATGTAACTATGGATGGAGATTAGTTCCGAATAACAACTATTATTGACAACAGGGTGAAGATGAATACAGTATTCATACTCACATCATCCTCAAGAAAAAAAAATAGAAATATGAAAATTAATTAATTTATTTAATGAATAGTTAGATATTTTCTTCGGATTCCATCTGCGAATTGTGTGGTTCAATTCGATTATTTATAGAACAACACCAATGCTTCCATCGTTGCCAACATTTTTTTACTAGAACAAATTTTACTTGACGACGAAAACGTGATGAAAATATTATAAAAATATAAAAGTTGATCTAAAATAAAGCAAAATCTTATAAATATGAATCAGCAAAAAAAATAATAATTTTACCATATAATTTGTAATGAAGATGGAAGTAAAAATTGCTTGAATCAATCGACCAATTGCATATGCCATAGGCATACTTCGTGATATTGGAAAATTAATGGCATAGATACTATAAGTAATATAAGGTAATACCAAACAAACAAAGGCTATTACACGCATAAGAACCATCGTTGTTATTTGTTTGTCTAGTTTACGACGAACAATTGGTATTTGTCGTCGGACTATACGACGAACATTATGATAAGCTAAGATACTAAATGACGATGCACTTACAATAGGTAGAAAACCACCTAAAATTGGATAATAGAAAAATGTTGAATACTGAACCCATATATGATTCGATATGATACATCCCATTGTTGGTTGAATATTATACGAATAGCCACGTGCAATGCTATGAATGATCGCAAAACAGATGAATATAGATGAAACATATCGACCTAGTTTTAATGTACACATTTGTCTTAAATTGAAACGATGATTTGTCGAAAAGAACTGATCAACAGTAGTGAAACATATCATATAAAGAGTAGTGAGTGCACATGTTTGTCCCAATATAAATCTTAATTTACACCAAATGAAAGAACGTGCCGTTGCATCATCTCCATATATTGATGTTAAAATAGTTAAACTAATAGATAAAAACTGATAAAAGAAGTTGGAAATTGATTCAATAGTTATATAGAAGGCACATCGATTAGTTCGAAATAGTTTCAATTGAGTAAAAACGAGAAGATTCAACGCATTACCAATAATTCCAAAACTAAATATAATAAAACCACTATAAAACGAATATTGTGTAGCAAATTTGAGAATTCCATCAGATACTGATGATGATGATGACATGATACTTTATTCAAAATGATATATAATTTATTATTTGTGTTTTTTTTCTTTTCCTAGAAAATACAAAATTTAATAGAAAATAGTGTGAATCTTTTTCTTGTCATTTATTATTTATGAAGCATCTTAGCAGAAATTACTGTCACGATTAATAATAAAAGTCTTTAATTACTAGTATGACGATGCTTCTTTTTTCAGACAATTATTTTACTAAGATTTTAAAAGTTTTCTTCTCTCTTAACTCGATTTAATTCTGTAATGGCATAATAGATATGTCAAAAAGTATGGACATATATATTAAAAAGGCATTCAAATGTAGTTAAAAAAATTAAAAAAAACAGACTTGTATATGTCGTAGTTTATTTTAGAATTTAGTTCAGATTGTAATTCTCTATTATAGCGTGAATGTTGTGGTAAAATAATTTACATGAATAAATTGTTTTTTTGTTTTTGAGGATATGAAATTATTTTGCTTGAGTATGTAATTTGAAAGACTTCAATCTTTTTTTATCTTGCTTCGGAAAAGAAGATTGGCAGCAGATGTTTATTTCTTAATGCCTAGACAATTGTTTGATTTTAGAAGTATTTTTTCCTTTGAAAGAAATATTGTTGAGGTTTTTTCATTTCATTATATTAGTTTTTGTTTATTATCTTGATTTTCTATATATAGAGTTTAGATAAATGGATGAGAAGGTATTTATATAATTATATATACGAATACGCTGTATAAGAACAGGATATGTTAACTAGTGTTCCTTCTTGTCATTATCATCATTTCCATATGTCATATCACCAAAAAAAAGGACCACACAAGAAAATAAATTCTTTATTTAAAGAAGGGTGTAGATGAGTTTATAGTAGAAGTTACACGAACACTCACACCCAAAAGTCCCGAATCGATGAACTTATGGATCTTTCAATCATAAGCTGCGACGAAGTTCATCAAAGTAAGCCTGACGTCTTTGAGTGTTTGGATGAGTATGACCAAATGTATGACGTGTAATATTCAAAGCTTTTTCAGCATGTACAATGGCTTTTTTAGTTTCATGAAGATCAAATAAGACCATGGCCATATTGTGATGACTGACAGCCAGCGATGGATGATGAGCTGGAAGAGTTCTTTCAAAAATCTCCAGTGTCTTCTGATAGAAAGATAAGGCACTTGTATTATCTCCCATCTTTCGATATAACAGACCAATATTATTGTAAGTGGTGGCCACTGATGGATTCTGTAATGGAAGACGAGCGATTTGAATTTCAAGTGCTCGCTCATAGCTTATCAGTGTCTCTTCGTAATTGCCTTGATCTTCGAGTACCGATCCAATATTGTTGTATCGAGTGGCAATACCTAGTTGATCGGGTTTGGGTGCACGAAGATCGATCTTCAAAGCATATTTCAAGTGTTCTAATGCACCATCGAGATCACCTTGATCTTGAAGAACACAAGCAATGTTGCAATGAGTCGGAGAGAGTTGAGGATCATCGGACGACAGATAGGTTGATTTGATATCAAGGGATTTTTCATAGTGAGAGAGTGCACTTGTCAAATCATTTTTCTGTTTTTTGATATATCCAAGTTGATGATGAAGAAGGGAGAGTTGTTGTCGATCGTCGTCCGGTATTATTTCACTAAGTGTTGTATAAACTTCTTCGGCCCTATCCAATTCACTCATGTAACACATTAGTTGACCCATTCGATGAAGTCCAGAGGGTCCTTGCGTCGCCTGTCGAATATGTTCAATAAGTTGAGTTAATTGAGGATCATTGTCGTTAGTCAAAGTCAGGTTAACTTGAAAAATTCGATTTTCGATTTCTTCTGTTTCACCAATGCGACAGACAGTGTGCATCGAAAAGAGGATTTCTTTTTCTCGATCTTTGAAGTAACCGTGTTCCTGATCAACAGAAACGAAAGGTGTAGTAGACATTTTTGGATCGATGTGAATTCGAAAGAAAATAGCAGTGAAATCTGAACTGTTTCTGGAATCTTTAGCAAAGCTAAGCGCCACATCTGGATTAGTGCTCGTTGACAAGAAGCTATTAAAAGCGAGAAGACCTCCTTTACTTTTTTTGATCAAATTGAACTCAGCATGTGACATTCCTTGTCTACGATAAACAAACAATGGTTCTTGACGATTTTGTTCTTGATGAATTTGTTCAATATTTCGATGAAGATCTCGAATAATGAAACCCATTTTCATGATTACTTCTATATCTTGTGTTCTCAAAGCTTTGTTCAACATCGAATGAACAAAGCAATCACGAGTGTACCACCATATCAACGATGGATTAGGGTATTTCTGTTCGAGTTCATTAATTACTTTCAATTCTCGACTATTATCTTCATATGAGTAACGACAAAAATCTATAAAATCTTTCTTTTTCTGTAACGTAGATACGTCTTGAAGAAGAATTTCACTGAGCAGTTGAGAATACATAAAAGATGGATCAAGAGCATTAAGATTAGTTTCTGAAGACGAAGAAATAATACTGATTGACATTAAATCGTTTTCACGTTGTCGAACATCATTTTTCAGGTGGTTGCATAAGTCTTCGAGCTTCATAAATGCTCCTTTGATTTTTGGATGATGTGCAGTCCATTGTTGAAGTTCGTTCTCATCATTACCAATGAGATATATCGAAGCCAATTGACTTTTGTCGGCGATTAAAGAAATGAATAGTGGATTGATTGTTCCAGAAACAATGACAAATACTTTTTCATCTCTGACATCAGACACAAACATAATACATCGATCGGCATTACTAAATATTTTAACAGAATTTACGACTCGTCGAAGATCACTGATGGATTTTTGCGTTGCTTCATTCGATTCATCCATGTCTGGATTCAACCAAGCAATAATAAAATTTTCCACAGCACGGCGTCGACTATTACCCAATGATGAGTTATTCGAATGTACATTCTTATCGATAATTTGTGTTTTATTGTTATTATTAGATTTAGAGATATCACTAGTTTGTTCACATAAGGGTGTTCTGTTGCCTTTCTGTGCCATTAATTGTCGTTATTGTAAATAAAAATGTTTCATTTCGGGGAACGTTTTCCTTACAGGCAACTCTGATGTTGATGAAAAGTATTCTTTTGCAAACCACGTGTACAGATGTAAGCCGTTGCCGTTCGTATTATTCAAACAACTGCTATTTGGATGTTGAAATAGCAAAAAATTTTGATTAAAGAATTCTCTCACAAATCACCATCATCTTCTCATTCAAACAATATAAAAATTGAATAAATTATATGACTTCATGAATTTTTAATCATTTTTTTTTCTATTATATAATTTTTTTGATTTTTAATTAAATTTCATGAGTAGTCCTAATGATAGTGATCTTTCAAAAAACAGTATCAAGATCAATAATTTAATTTCAGAGTTTCTTTTTATTCTTTATAGGGTGATGATATTCGTAGGTGTTTTTATTAGTGCAACTAGTATCCATTAAATGTTCATGTGAAAAAAAGAGTGATACAAGATCAGATCGAAATTCATTTTCTTTGAAAAACCACAGCAAATCGATCAAAATGAATGAAAGTTAGGATTTAATAGATTTTTTAATTTCATCGGTTTATCCTTTATAAGTTCTGATAAAACTGCGTGATGTTTAATATTTGAAAGTGAAAAGAGAAAAATTATACAATTTATTTCGAGAATGAATAGGTATGTTATGACATTTTTTCTATATTTGTCTTATGTCTATTCGTTGCTCAGTGATGGTAGTTATAGCGATACTTCAAATATTGATTGTCAAAGTTACTTTCTTTCTTGCAATTTTCTTTGTGGTAATCTCAGAAGAGTACTCAAAACTCAACAACAACGAGCAGAACAGTAAGAAAAAATGGCATTTTTCGTTTTCACCGAAAAAGTCAAGATAAGCGACAGTGACAGTGTGATTGAGTGGATGAGTGCAGGTGTGAGTGTGGGTGTGGGTGAATGGTGGTATGCGTGTGGATATTACATTAACCTTATTGTGACACCCACACTCATATCCATCCTTCACCCACACGCACACCCACATTGTCAAATTATAAGGCATTAAAACTAATAACGACTGAAAAGTCGTTCAAAACTATCAAAACGTTGAGAACGAGTTAAAATGTGCAGTTTGAACGAATTGAAACGTGTCTGATTTTTGGACGTTTTTAAGCATTTTTTATTCATTTTTACTGGCTGGGACTACTCATATTCACACTCACATCCTCAAAACAAAATATGCGCAAAATGTAGACCATTCAATCGTTTTTTGTAACGCACAGCAGCTATAAATTCTACAGATAATCTTAGAGAAAAAAAGAAAAATATTTAGTTATTAATTGGAGTTCTGATAGTAATGAAGTATTTATTATGCCAGTAGTGATTTACCCTTGATCAAGGTGAATAATGATGCAGCAATTCCAGTGACAATGGATACTGCAGTTTTGCGTACCATATCCATATCGACCACAAGAAAAAAAAAAAGACATATACAATATCTTTTTTTCTCATTTTCAATAAAGTCCGACATGGCTGAGAGATACGCGATTCCATTTTCCAATGATTCTTGTTCATTATCAACTGCATCTGTTTTTTTCTTAATCGATTTGATATCAATCAGTTTCATTGTTGTCTCCGTTATTGTTCGTTTGATTAATTGTTGAGCATCGATCGTTATTCTTTGATTGATATAGGCAACAATTATCAGAAATCCTATGATTGGCAAGGAGAGAACGATAATATCGATCAGTAACAAAACCGTAAGGACATTGACGGATACACTCACAAAGAACAGACGATATACTGCAATGATAATAAGTAGGGCATCAATAAAGAACGCGTAAGTAATGGTAGCCAAACAATAACCAAATGGATCTGTATTGGCCACTTCTTGTTTAAATTGACTAATGAAATAATCGAGATTACCAGGCTTTCTTAAATCATAATAAGCACCAGTTTTCTGTTCGATGAAACGGTCATTATTTGTTACACTAGCCATAATTTTATCTACTTTTCCAGCTAGATTGATGTAAGTTATCCATGCTAATAAAATCATTGCAAAGAAAAAGAGATTATAGACTGTTCCTGCTCCTAAATACGACGCTTCGACGAAGCGACCATACCACGGTAAGCCTGTATAATTTAGCGTTGGCGAGGTGTTAAGTTCAATATTAGAACCAAATTGACGGATTAATTCAGGTATCAGCACATGAAAGCTAGTTACGATTAAATAAAATCCGATACCGACTCCTGGTAGAACACAACCCGTGCAGGAACACTGAAAATCATCGGATGATTCGATTCTAGTAGTTCCGATCGATACTGCATTCTTTTCATAAAAATCGGAGCGCGCATCTTCGTAACAACGTTCTACAACTGTCTGTTTAGATTTCTCAGTTTTCGACACACAATAGTAAAACAAAACAATTCCAATCATTAAAATAGCGTGCCAATGCAGCATAAAAGGCCAATATGCTTCGAGAAAAACAATATTCCAGTAGTTCATCTCACTAAGGAAATATTGATATACTGCGATAGCAAAGTAGTTGATATAGAATAGTGGTGACATTACTGCTAAGAGTGTACTCCCCATAATCTTCAAAGCTATTAAACCCTGCTTTACATTCTTCTCATTCGAATTCGTATTGTTTGTGTGACGCCAGATTGCAATGACACCGACAATTGGTAGGGCCAGAGTTACACCTACAATGATTCCGATGGTTATAAACACTTGACGCCAGGGAATTAGTTTCCATTTATTCAATTCCGGTACAATTATTTTGGTTTGAATTGCTGTCTCTAGTGGCTTCAAATATTGATGTTTAATATCATCAAAGAGAGATTTCATACCATCTTCGGTGGCCGGAAATGATTTAAGTAAACAATTATACTTAACATGTTCCACAAGAGTATCTAATAGTAAGCATTCGAACTGTTCAACTGTCCAGTCCTGTGTTGGCAGGTCACAGAGCGGTAGTAAGTCATAGGCTGTAAACGATAAACTCTGCTTAGATGAATTTTCTACTATTTGTAGTATTTCTAGTATTTCTAGTATTATTGGTAGGACCTGATGCTCATCAGTAACCATCAATTTCAATATAGTCAGGAGACCCATTTCTACTTCTTTTCTTTCTAAAGTATTCGATTTGTCTCTGTCGCACCAAGTGAAGAATCGCTTGATCTGTTCTTCATATGCGTTATCAAATATGATCGCTTTCATCGATAACCTTACGAATAACAGAAATGCATCGAAATGTAAATTTTGGTCTTCAGTTTTCATATTAATCGTAGTAGACGTACCCGAGTTATCCACTGGTTTCTCTCGTAAATAAAAGGAAATAATTGACCGTTTACTACCATTGTTCTGCTGATTCCGAAAATCTTTTAATTGTATCGATTCGCTCATCGTCAGACATTTTTGATTGTACCATAAATGTTGGTCATCTTTTACAGTCGCTGTCTTTTTTGCTTTGTCACGAATTGACTCTAATGTTGATTCCGACTGAACATCTTGCAAAACAAGAAAACGAGTCGCAGACTGCTTTACTTGTGCTGATGGTCTCTGTTCATTTCCAGTATAATAGACAAATATGAAATCTTTATCCTCAAATGAATGAAATATTGAGGATGATGTCAACATTTGATGAGATGCAGCTGATGATCTAGAACATATGCAGGCTGAAAGAATTGGAAAACGATGATTTTGATAAGTTATATTACTTACCCGTCGTTCGTTTGAATGTTCTTTTGTTGTGATCGCACTACCAATATGTAGAGCACAGGTGATGATTGACCCATCAGGAGGGAGTGTATAGACTTTTGATGATCGCTGACAATTTTATTATCTAATACTATGGCAATATCTATTGATGAGGATTTTGTTTGTTCATCTTCTACGCTTTTCTTGATAATATTTAAAACAACATTTTCAATCAATTCTTCATCATTGTACTTCCAGGTGTGTTTCTTGAATATTGAATTATTTTGTACATTTTTTGCACTTTTCATCATGATCATATATTCGAATGTATGATTAATTTCCGACGATAGAGCGGACGATTTTGATGCATGTTCATCTGTTGCAACTGTCGGTGTTGGATGTACGGTAGTACGTTTGATAGGACTTTGACGTACATGGGCAAACGGTTTCCCATTATTGTTGTTCTTAGCCGATGAAGATTGAGTTGATGCCATAGCCGAATTCATGTTGAATTTTGTTTTACAAAACACTAGAACAATTTCGGCTTTTTGACTTTTCTTAATATGGATGAGATTTTGAGTGAATATAGGTGTGAGGGTGAGGATGGGTGGACTAGGGTGTAGTTGTAAAAATAAGTATAAAAACGATCGAAACCAAAAACATTGAAAAAAAGAATATCAAAAGTACTATAAACATAATTTATGCATATAATATTCACGTATAGGGAATCGGAACGATGAGTACGGAAACGATAAACACGGGAATAATAAACACGAGGAAGGGTGTGGGTGTGGGTGTGGATGTGTGTGTGTCTACTCTTTCTATTCACACCCACACCCACACTCTAGCTAAACAAAATCTTGCAAACTTTAATAGCCGAACACATTCACTAAACTCTTGAAATTCATGGAATCTGCAGTACCCTCATAACTCATCTGATTCACAGAACTCACAAAACTCAAGAACATCAACGAACTGACATAACCTGTGAAAGTGAATAAAAAACTGGTTTGTGCGAGTTCTAAGAATATCAAAAACTTATGAAGCTAAAGAAATCAAGAACCTAAGGGAACTCTTACAATTGAAGAAACTTGTATGCGGATCGAGAATCTCGAATGCAGGTGCTGTATAGATCCCAAGGGCACGTGAGAATCCTCTGAATTTAGGAAAGCTGAGAATCGAAAAAAGTAAGAGTAGGCAGAGAACTCATCGAGAGAGTATGGGTGAGTATATCTTACTCATATCCACAGCCACATCCTATTATATCTCTTGAGTTCTGTCGATTCTAGTCGGTTTATAGGGTCACAAATCCACAAGAGTTCAGAACTGACAGAATTCGGACACATCTCTTTTTTTCCAATGATTAAAATTTAAAACTTACCCAAATGAAATTATTTTTAATCGAATGGCTTCAAAAAATTCTAATAGTTTTTAAATTTCGGATGCTATTGTGTGTGTATGCGACTGAATGTTATTTTCGCGAAATGATTCTTTTCGTTTGTTTTATAAAGTAACCACAGTTGCAGTTTCTTTTTCTTTTTTTCCAATAAGGTATTTTATTGTGAAACAATGTGTAAAGCTTGAGAAAAAAAATCATCCGTAGCCCTCAATACACAAGAAATTTTATTGGAAAGAAAGAGAAAAAGAATTTATATAAAATGAATCGGATTTAAGTGCTATGCAATTAAACATTCTTGATAGAAAACTGTATTCTTCTTAATAGAAAATAAATACCTCTTCGAGAAACAAACAAAAGAATCTGATAAAATAGAGGGAACTATATTATTTATCGACACCATATTAGGTGTGAGAATGTCTGATATATCCTTAATGTACATGTACATTCACCCTCAATTTAGTCAAACTCCTCTCTACAAAACAAATTGTCGACAAAATCTACTTAACAACTTATATTTAAACGGTGAACATATTATTGTGAAAAAGAAGTTGTCTGAATCAATGAATGATTGTAAAAAAGCGGTTTTATTTGATTTTTCGATAAATTAAGTTTTGATTGTGTTTGAAAAAGAGGATCAGGCTGAAAAGAAATCTTTTGATAACTATCTATTAAATTTTTATTATTTTGAATTTAATCATTTCACTTGTTCTTTTTTCATTAAAGCCAACGATTTTAATTGAAGATCTATCGATGTTTTATTTATTTTCTCTAAATTTTGCTAAAAATTACATCTTTAAACAATAAAATAAAGATCAATTTTACATTCGAAAAAAAGTCAAACTATAAAAGATTTTATTTTTAAATTTATTTTGAGAGATAAAGAAAAACTAAATATTCGAATAAATTCTCTACAATTACTTATGTATCTCAACAAAACAAGAGAATATAATGTTCTCTTCTTTTATCCTTTCTTCAGTCAAATCTGTTCGAAAAGAATTAATTTGTGTTATGTCTTATCGATAATAAATGAAAATATTATTTTAATCAAAATGATGAACATTGTAGAAATTGATTTTATTTATAGAGAAATCATTTAAAATTAAAAGAATTTGTAAAAATACTTAAAATCATTTTCTGAATAATATTTGATTAGAATTTATAAATTTTGTAATTTTAAAATAAAGAATCAATTTATATTATATGATTTAACTTCGTGAATCTTCTTATATGAGATGTAGATGAATAAAGAAATGATTTGAATTAGTCTTTTACTTTTATTTATTATTAATGTACATCAGTTTATATGTCATTTTGGGTGTGGGTATGGGTGTGATCATTTTTTTTATAACATATCCACATCCTTTGATAAGATCTCTTGTGAAGAATCGAAGTCGATTATGACAGTTTAAATACAGCGAATGATACAACCAGTTCAATGAGAATATGATTGTCATGATCATCAAGTTTGACAAATTATTAAGATTTTATCATAAAGTTACCGTATATCAACAAAAAAAATAATAGGACGACGACAAAAAATTTTATTTCTTACATAATAAATAAAATATAAAAATTAGTAAGCAGCGCAATCTATTTTAGTTTACATTCTTTTAGTTTTATTTCCACTTGCGGTGAATTGTTCTCATCGATTTTAATATCAACTATTTTAAATATTGAATATGGTAGAATTAATACTTCTTGTTCACCTTCAAATAATGATATATATTGAATATCTAATGCAGTTCTTTGATTAAGTATTTCATATTCACATATTACACTTAATCGATCATCTATATCAACATTATTGTGAAGAAATCTTAGTACTATATTCATTTGTTTTGATGTTGAGAAAAATGTTTTTATTAAAATTCGTGTATCTATTTTGCATTGTTCTAGATCATTAGAAGTAATTATCATACTACGATATGTTATTCCGGTATATGATAATGTTTCTAATTTTGGATGTCGAGCAATTATTGCAACATATAATGTTCGACCGACGATATATTTATCAGTTAAATTTTCAGAAGTTAATTGTGCTATATGAAGATTAAGTTTAGGATAAAAACCAGTTTCAGCTGTATATGCTTTTAGTAAATAAATTGGATCATTTTCGTTTATCGCCATATCGAAATATTCTTTTATTGTATGAAAATCATCGATATCTTTCAAGTCTGTTTCAAGATAATTTGTTTTAATATAACTGATCAATTTGTCCAGTTCTGGAGGTCTAACAAATAGTTCCATGAATTTGAAATATCGATGTGCTTGAACATCTGCATCATTTGTAGCAAGCGTCCATGTGATAGAATCAGAAACAAAACGAGTTTTATTCATTCGACGACGAATCATTTGTTTGATTTTATCAGTTTTAGCTTCTTCGAGTGGAGTACAATTATATTTATTTTTTTTTGAACAACAAGCACCTTTTTTTAATAAGATCTGAACAACTTCTTCATGTCCATAAAATGCCGCTGCATGAAGAGCACTCGATCCATTTGATTCTATTTGATTAATTTGTTCCGTTGACATTATTTCCAAATAATGTTTAACCAAACTGCTATTATTATCTTGACAAGCATTATAAAAACGACTCGTCACTGAAACATTAAATGATCAATTTATTTTAAGGGTTATGATGGCGATTAGAGTAAAGAAAGAATCTAAGTCAGACGACGGAAGACTTTTGATAACAAAAAGATGAGAGATACAAAATGAACTAAATGGAATGATCTTTTTTCATACTATGTGTTACCTGGTTGAACTTCCATCGTTAATGATGAACACATTTTTTTAATTTCTTTTAATTTATCTTCCAATTCTTCTTTATTAACAAACTAAAAAAGAGCCTATAGGGAAAATATGACAAAAATGTGATATATCTGACTTGATTTATTTCTGACCAGACCAATGTTTTTTCAGCAACATAGATCATTTTCTTCTTATCATAGTCATCGATTGTAGTTGTAAAGTTTTCATCATCGATAGTACTTTTTATATGAAGACAATATGATTGAAGAGAATTATTCGCTTCAATCCAATCTTGTTCAATTTGAGCCTCATTAATCATACGTTTAAGTTCATCTTTAGATAAATATCCGCTATCAGTTGTCACTGTCATTTTTTTCGCTTTTCCAAAAGTTTTCTCTACAGCTGAGACTTTTAATATTCCATTTACATCAATATCAAATGTAACTTCAATCTTTGGTTGACCTTGAGGTGCTGGATGAATGGGAAAAAATTGAAAACTTGCAAGCATATAATTATTTTTTGCCATAAGCTGTTCACCTTCAAAAACTTTGATATCACAGCCAAGCTGATTATCTTTATGAGTTGTAAATGTTCGTGTTTGTACTTCTGGAAGTCGTGTATTACGTGTAATTACAACAGCCATAGTACCATCAGATGCTTCAATACCCTTTTAAAAGACAAAGTTTTTTTTAAAATAAGTTTTTTTTCTTTTAGTTACTAATGGAAGTGATACAACATCGAACAGCAATATATCTTCAAGCTTTTTTGATTTGTCACCAGTTAAAATAGCTGCTTCAATCGCTGCACCATATGCAACAGCTTCATCTGGATTTATCGATTTATATAACTGTTTTCCGTTAAAGAAATCTTGTAAAAGTTTTTGTACTTTTGGTATACGTGTTGAACCACCAACAAGAACAATTTCATGAATTTGTGATTTATCCATTTTAGCATCACGTAAAGATTTTTCAACAGGTGCAAGTATTAGACGAAATAAATCATGATTAAGTTGTTCAAAACGATCACGAGTTATTGTTGAATAAAAATCGATTTGTTCATGTAATGAATCGATTTCAATTGATGCTTGAGATGATGAAGATAAAACAAGCTAAAGAAGAAAAAAAAAGAATTTTAACAAAAGCTTTTATTTAAACGAAAAACTACTTTAGCATGTTCACAAGCTATGCGTAATCGTTGAAGTGCACACTCATCACTTTGTAAATCTTTGCCATATTTACGTTTAAGTTCTTGAACGAAATGGTGAACCATTCGATTATGAAAATCTTCACCACCTAAGTGTGCAACACCAGCTGTTGATTTAACCTCAAATATTCCTTCTGTAATTGAAACTATTGATACACTGAATGTTCCACCACCCAAATCAAACACAAGAATATTTCTTTCTTTAGATATATTTTCTTGATCGAAGCCATAAGCAAGAGCAGCTGCTGATGATTCATTGATAATACGTAGTACATGAAGACCAGCAATAGTTCCAGCATCTTTCGTTGATTGACGCTGAGAACTATTAAAAGAAGCTGGAACTGTAATAACAGCTGATGAGACTTTTTTTCCAAGATATATCTCTGCAATATTTTTCATTTTGATTAGTATCATTGATGAGATTTCTTCAGGAGTAAAGACTTTTGTTTGATTTTTATATGTAACTTCAATCTTTGGTCTTCCATTATCATTAATAACTTTAAATGGCCAATGTTTCAGATCAGATTGAACATCTGGATCATTAAATTTTCGACCAATAAGTCGTTTAGTATGAAAAATTGTATTACGTGGATTGATAGATGTTTGATTTTTAGCTTCATCACCAATTAATCGTCCATTATTATTAAATGTAACATATGATGGTGTTATTCGATTTCCTTGTTCATTTGGAATTATTTCAACTCGACCATTTTGACAAACAGCAACACATGAATATGCTGTGCCCAAGTCAATACCTATTGTCACACCTGAATCACGACCTTGTGCTGCTGTACTCATAGAATATTTTTAACACACGAGTTTTAATAATTTTCCTATTAGAGCTTTTATTTAATATCTATTTTAAATGAAAAAAAAACGAGCAAAGTTTTCTGATTATCTTACAACTTAACATATCATCCACAAACAACATAAAATAAATAAGCCTATTTATATGAAAAAGATCTACTCGAAGATACCAAGGCAAAAAGGATAAGAAAAACGTAACAGATTGTACGCCGTCGGAAGTAAAAGAACACATTTATTTCGATTAGAAACAGTATGTGATAAATACTTCGATATTCCACGTCATTCAATAAAAAGTTTTTTTGATAAAATAGTTCACTAATAAAATAATCTCCTTCTTATTTGCCTTCGATGAAAACAAAATGACACTCGTTGTAGATTTTCTCTCTAGTTATATCTCTCTCTCTTCTCTCTCAACATAACAAAAAGAGAAAAAAATAGTGTTCTAGAGAAGGTTTCATCGTAGGTAAGATAAAAAATTCATTTTAGATTGGATTAATGAACAAAATCGATAATTTAATTTGATTTTACTGAAGAAGAACGTGGTGAAGAGAAAGAAGAATTGATCAATATCGATGTCAATCATCAGACATGTTTTCAACGAAAATACAATATTAAAAATTATTGTCAATAAATGATTGACGTCAATGAATAAGTCATGATTAGTTTGATATATTTTTATTTAAACCTGTCAAATAGTCTGCTTTGTCAGGACTCGCTTTCAATCATGTTCTTTGTTTCTCTATGCGCAATGAGTATTTTTGTATCAGATATATTAAAAATAGAATTATTCATCACGATACGATGTATTTTTGTAAGAGACATGAAAAAGATGCATGAATTCAACTCAAAATTCAATATATACAAAAGCAAAACTCTGAAAAGGGGTGGATCTTATCCATTAGTAGCATTAGTTTTATTCAAACATAATCAAAATCATAAAACTCAGATCAATCATGCTGAACATGTTTAATTCAAATTGATTTTAATGGATGTGGGTGGGTGTGGGTGTCTCTTCTTTTCACCCACATCCATCCTCACTTTACACCCACACCCACGCAAAAGTTAAACTGTAAGATTTAATACAAACGAATACGATAAGTATAAAAGCCGTACGAACTACGATGATCTTGATCAATTGTAAAAGAATATTTACTTTGGAATAGCCGTCGACTTTCTTTTAAATATTTCTTAAAATATCTAAAGTCTTCTTGATCGATCATTTCCAGTTGTAATCGATTAAGTTTAGGAAAGTATGTTCGTAAATCTTGAAGAAGATTAGCGGTACGAGGTGATTGTCCAATAGATGGACATACTAACGAGTTTATTTTTGGAAATATAACCGAAAGATCATAGAAGAATGTCGTTAATTGATCAATATTTTCCCAAGAAATAATAAGTTCTAGATTCAAAATATTATTTGGTTTATCATGACGAAAAATTTCTTTCAAATGTTGAATTACTTTCATTTCATCGCGACTATGAACCTTAAAAGACGTAAGATTTGGCGATAAAGTTATAATAATTGATATGAAACGACAAATTTCAGGTAAGGTTTCTTCAATACAACGTCCAAAACAAATTCTTGTTAAATTTTCAAGTACAAAAGTATTTGTGAACTGAAAAATCAGAATTGAAAATCTTTCATTATAATAATTACGTTCCAGCCGAACTTCACAACTATCAAATAACTCTTTTAATGTAAGATTTGAATTAAGATTACATATTTGATATATTTCATTGAAATCAGGATCGAATGATCGAATTCGTGGAAGTGTAAACATAGTGTATCGTAATTTTGGCAACTGTTTTATATTTGGAAAATTTTTATCAGGCTTATGATTTGTGTGAATATTATATTGAAAAGATTTCAGATCTTCAAAGTTCTTAATCAAATTTTGAAATTTATCGAAATTAGAAAATTCTATTTGAGCATTGATAATAATCAATCTGAGAATATGTAATTGACTTTGAAATATATTCAAGAATCTCTGTAAACCATCTAAATTTGGATAACCATCATATTGATGCGTCAGAAATTGTAAATGTAATTTTCGTAAAGTAATTGGTATCTCGGAATGGTACATTGGGTATGAATCGAGACGTATTATTGATAGATTTAATTCTTCAAGATTTGGAAATAATTTAAATAGTTTCAATAATTGAGTCGTAGAATTAAGTGAAATTGATAAATGTGTTACATAGGACATTTGAGGAATATCATCAACTTTAAAATTAGATGTAAACTTTGGTTTTAGAAAAATTAATTTGTGTAAATTACGCGATGCGGATAAAGAAATAGTTTTTAGAGTAGAAATAGTTACTCCATGAATTGTAAGCGTTGTTAAAGATGATAATGATAAAGCTTGTGTTAGATATTGATTTAACCAATAATAATAATCATAATGATATAGCCAATTGTCTGCTTTTAGCGAAAGTGATTCTAATCTAGTCAACTGTGAAATATAAGGATTAAATAATTCAAATTGTTGTTCTTCTTCAAGTTTTAGAGATCGCACAGATTGTACATGTCTAGGAAAAATATCTTTAATGAAGAAGTACCAGCGTCTAAAAGAATGATTGCCTAAATCAATTATATTGATTTCGTACAAACAAGATTCAATTATATGTTGAAAACGTTGATTGAGATCATTGAATGAATAGAAAACATCCAATTTGTGTAAATAACTAAAAATTTGTAATAGTATTTCATTTGGTAATAATTCCATCGTGTTGATAAAATGAATAAATATGATATTTACTCTCTCTATATATAAAGAAGAGAAAAAAATATTTTCATGCAATAGCCGATATACATCAGTGACTTTGACTCATGATTATCACATAAAATATCAAAGGTAATACTTAACAAATTGAGTCATGCGTATATTTCATCGCATTAATGCAAGGCATGTAAAGGGAAGTTGTAAAAATTTCAGTCTTATTTTAAACTGAAGAGAAACTTATAAAAATACTTTTTTCCAAAATCAAAGAAACATTTTTAGAAGTTTACACGAGCCTCACAATTTTAATAACAAAATTTTGTTTAATTTAAAAGATTACTCAACTCTCTGTAGTTTCCGCTTCAGAGTTATGACCAAAACATAATGAGGAAAAACGAGCAAATTTAATCACCTACATTATTTTCATTTATTAAAAAAAGTCAACAAAAATATTAAACTAACTCATTTCAAATCAAAATAATACTCCGGTGTGATCTAGTGATGATGCACACCATTCATTAATGATCGTGGTACACTTGATACACGTGGAATATTGGGTGTACGTGGTAAACTTGATACACGAGGTCTCTGTTGATGATGAGGACTATTGGAATGATGTAGATGTCTACTTTGATGATGACTGATTTTCGGAGATTGTTTCACAGCATGATTAACCTATTGAAATATAGAAATATGTGTAAAAGAAAAAAATAAACTAAAATGTACGTACAAGAGGTGTCATTGGTCTATGTTTAGACTGATCAGCATGTGTTCGTTTATGACGTCCATCTAAACCTAATGTTGGTGTTGTTATTCTTGTTGTTAATTGTGATCTCTTTTTATTGATTGATAAAGAATGAACTTGAATAGCAAATGAAAGACGCTGCTTACACTTTTCTAATTGATCGTTCATTTTGTCAAATTTTCGTTTATAACTATGACTACGTAAGAATAGTCCAATGGTAGATGCATTAGTGTATTTTTGCACTAATTCTAAGCAATCTACTAGACAAGCTTCTAAGTTTATTATTGGTTGTTCTAATTGTTTAAACAGTCGTGGTGCGTCGGATTCAATATATTCCAAACAATCAATAACTTCATAAATATGTCCATCTAATTCAATACAATCTATATCATTTTCACCGCAAGTTTCAACTGTTTTGTGAATCTGCTGAGCCAAGGTAAAAATACCACTAATCAAAGGAGGACCAACAGCAGCGAGCACACTAAAAGAAACCGGTTCTCCATCTCTATTTCTTTGCATCTAAGTATTTTCGGCTGCTTATTAAAAAAAATATGGTATGGTAAATGATATGAAAGAAAAAATCGAGCGTACATATATAGGTATGGTCTAGTGGTTTATTCTCTTCCTTTTACTACGATTATGTGTCATGCGCGCCATGACTAACGTATAAACGGAACTGACTACTTATGAAATTACAAATGACGTGTAAGGAAATTTTCCATACATACTTGTTTTTGTGAAGGCAGTTTTTTGCTTGTCACTGTCATCATTAAGTTAAACAATGACACCAAATTATATCGGTGTGAGTGTGAGTTTGCAGTGATTGTGAACCCACACCTACACGCACCCAAATCAATTCATCTCAAATTTGAACATGTGAACCATTGATCAGAGGTCGTGCACATATACCACTGAACAACACCAGCTCCAAATCTATTCTCATTCAAAAAGATATGTAGTTGACTATATTCTTTCAAAGTTATATCTATTAGAGCAATTATATTCACTTCTGTCTATGAAAAAAATACAGCACTTCGTCTTTTTTTTTGTAATAACTTGCAGTTTGCGTAAAAATAGTATTTTTTTGCCTTTTGAATCTGTAGTTACGCTTGAGATATTCTTTACAATAAAATATTGAATGAAGTTTGAATGAATCAGACACTAACAATCGATGAGTTTTATTTGAATTTTGGTGGGTGTAAGAGTAGCTGGATACTGATGTAGAGTCTGATAAAGATACACACTAACATCCACCTTGATATTCTATATCAGTGGCGTAGCTAGGATTTGACTGGTGGCCTGGCAATGCCTTACGAAATTTTTGAAACCTACCATATCATTAGGGGTGTCGCGACTGGAGGAGGGTGGAGGCGTTATTCATCCCAATCTTTGGAAATTTTGTTTTTTTGCTCACCATTTTTTAAAAATTACTAAGAAATTTCCAAAAATTCTGGACGAGTTTTTGAGAAAGTCTTTGGAAATTTCCCGAATTCTTCGAAAGAATTCTGATAAGTTATAAAAATTTT